TCTTTCTTTGATTGTTTGATTGATTGATTTATTCTTTCTGTCTTTTTTCTTTTTTCATTCCTGTTTTTCATTTTTTTCTTCGGGTTTTTCTTTGTATAGTCCTTTTTTTCTTTAGTTCTTCCCAGTTTTCTTTTTCAATATTCCTTCACTTTTTCTTTCTTTCATTTCTTCCTTTTTTTTTTAAAATTATTTGAAATTTCCTTTTATTCAATTATCTTGTATTTTCTTCATTTACTTCCTTCTTTACCATTTCCTTCTTTTCTATTTTTGTTTCGGTAGCAATTTCATTCGACTTACGTTTTCTTTTTACTTATTCTCTCTCTTTCTCACTTCACTTATTCTAAACTTTTTGCTTTATTAGCTTCGTTCATAAATGAATTTTCTTCGTCTTTCTGTGACATCTTTACTGTCTTCTCTCTCTCTTTCACTCTCTCTCTTTCTCTCTCTCTCTCTCTCTTCCATTTTGTCTGTCCATCCAACAAAACCAATACACCTTCTCCAACACCCCTCTGAATTTAACACCATGTTGGCTAAGAAATAAACGCAGACACAAGGCCACTAGAAGACACAATGAGTCGCCTCGTCCCAGTTGAACTTAATCGACCGACCCGCCCCGATATAGACGTTGCAAAATCGATAGTGAAAGGTGGGGAAGCTGATTGGCTAGCTGCCGGTAATCACGAGGTGCTGACGTCAGAGATAACTCGTGACTTGTTTTCTTCCTCCCCTCTTACACATCCCCTCCATTATTCCCCTCTAACGTCGGCATCCCCCACCACCACCACCACTTCGCCTTTCTTGATTCCTCTTTTAGTGATCGACACACGGGCAGGAATCGACAGTGTGCGCTTCTCGACGCTTAAGCCGGCGTCGACGTGCACCCCGCCCCAACCGCCTCCACTAACCCCGGTCCATCAAATATTGTGTACAATGAACACCCCGTACTGTCCCATGACCAACTCAGCCATTTAGCTCAATATCTTGTCTCTTCAAAATTTTCCATTACAGCATCGTTTTCCGAGCTGGCCTCTCTCTTCCTCTCACTCTAAGTCGCGTTCTGCTACTCTCTCTTTTCCTGTTACACACACACACACACACACACACACACACACACACACAAGCACTCTCACGCACACGCTGTCTGTCTGACTCTCTCTCTCTCAGTATACATACACACACACACACATATATATATGTAGAGAGAAAGAGAGAAGCAAAAATTATATATATTGTGAGAGAGACAGAAACTGTGTAATATATATCTATATATATATATATATATATATATATATATATATATATATATATATATATATATATATATTACACAATTTTGTCTATGCGTATTTTTCATCTTTTTGCTCTCTTTTTGATCTTGCATTTTCTTTCATTCTTTCCCAGATCAGTGCTTTCTGGTTCATTTTTCTTTCTTTCTTTCTTTCTTTCTTTCTTTCTTTCTTTCTTTCTTTCTTTCTTTCTTTCCAGCCAACTTTCTTGTTTTCCATTTCCATTTTTTATTCTTTTCCAGTTTCTTTTCCTTTCTTTCTTTCTTTCTTTCGTTTCGTTTCTTTCGTTTCTTTCTTTCTTTCTTTCTTTCTTTCTTTCTTTCTTTCTTTTCCAGCTAATTTTCTTATTTTCCTTTTCCAGCTTTCATTCTTTTCCATTTTCTTTCTTTCTTTCTTTCTTTCTTTCTTTCTTTCTTTCTTTCTCACTTGTCCCGACATGTGCTTCGCCTGATTTGGCTTGAATGCATTCAAACCTTTTTACTTGCAACAAGATTCTTCCCCCTCTCGCTCGGTCTTCATTTCTATCTTCCCTCTCTCCACAATCTTCTCTCTTCTTCTTCTTCTTCTTCTGTTCCTCTCTAAGTCGAACCACCCGCCTTTCCCCCACCTCTCTCCCCTTTTCATTTCGCTCGTCTATCTTCAACTCAACTATTTTTTCTCTCTATAAAAAATAAACTTATAATAGGTTATCTCAAGTGTTACGCAGAAACGATTGCTTACATACATACATACAAGTAGAAATATATGCATACACACATACATACACGCATACATACACACACGCATGCATACACACACATTTATACATATATGCATACATATTAATTTTTCAAAGCATTTTCTTTCTTATCCGACTTCATTACCCGCTACTGTAAACGTTACCTTTAGTGGGTTCATGTGTTTGCGTTGACATTTTTTCTTTTGGAAAAATAAAATTAATGTCAATCGACTTAGATCATGAAGTCCTACTAAAGAAAAAATGTGCTTCCCGTCGATTTGTGTCAAAAGGCATTTTTTCCTTTGGTAGGGTCTTGATCTAGGCCATTTGATGTTAATTTTATTGTTTCAGAAAAAATAGGATGTCAACTAAAGTACGTATATCCAGTAAACATAGCGTTTATAGTTGTGGGAAATACATACAACGTGTCCATAAAGTTCGTGTGCACTTTAAAATTTATAACTTTATTCATATTTGCGATAGAAATAATCTGTAAAAATGTTATAAAGTTTAATGTACCGAGTTTTAAGTATAGTTAAAATAACTAATGTGATTTCAGGCATTACTGTAAATCAGTTGGCAAATATTTTCCGTGAACTGCAAAATCGTATTACCCTTTGTATTGCTAATGATGGAGGACATGTGGAAACTTAAATAACATTTCCATAAAAACTTAAAAAAATATATATTTACTTCTTTCTAATCCTTTTTACAAATTATTTCTATCGCAAACACAAATAAAGTTATAAATTTTTTAAAGTGAACACAAACTTTATGGACTATGCCTACATAGATACACTCTTTCACATAATATTTTGAAACAAAATTAACTCTGTATACTCCTAAACAGTGTATTATACGCGGGTTGTGATGTTCATTAAGTTAGTCGTGTACAGTGTTATCCATATGCTGCATTCAACTGATGTCAGAGTTAAACTTAGTATTTATAGGTATATATACAAGAGTGAGTGCAAATGATATAAAAGTGAAGATCTAATGCAGATAAACTTACTAATGGTACCTATATAAAATATTACATTCCGGATGCCGGGAAGGCAATGCCTTACTACTGCAACTGTAATCCAAGCCCACCTCCTTTTTGGTTTCAAATAGAAACGAAAAAAACTCTTCTAACACATTTTGAATTTAGTAGTTGTGAAATATACTGCACTGTTGATATTCATATCAGTAATTCAGATAAATATAATCATAGTCAACGACTTGTAAAATCTAACAAATTATATGCATATATGATTTATAGTGTACACTATTTACATTATTTGGACTATTGTCCTCATCTTTGTCGCCATATTTATTACAACGTTTCGGCCGTTGTACGCTCCGTCCTTCTTCATAATACCTCATCTTAGAAAAATAGGCAGATAATGATTTATAGTGATATAAATTATTCCAGAGCCTTAGGATCAAAAAACATTTATATTACACAAAGTTAGTAAAATAATTTAGAGTGTTTCACTTTTGTTAAATTATCATTTAATGCATTTATATAAGACTTGGTCCTATTAAACCAATAAGAGTTGAATTAATTCATAACAACTTAAAATCCTTTTTTATGTTTATATATATTTCTATAGTAAAACTAATTACAATAACATTCTATAGTAAAATTTTTGCAGTGCTTTTCTATAGTAAATTATTAGCGTATTTATCTATATTATGCATATAATAGTTCTCTTCTGTCAATCTGTGGAGGCATCTGTCAGTCTCGGGGGTTTTCTCACGTGATTAATAATTCTTGTTTCAGACGTTTGCTCATATACATTTGTTGTGTTTTTTTTTGTTTTTTTTTTTTTTTCGTCGCACTGAACAAACCTGTGGCTTATACTGTAACTATGTAACGTCGAGGACATATAACTTGTCAATAAGTTTTGGGTGGAAATTCCCCTAAAAAATACGTTTCTCAAGCCGATTATAGGGAAAACTTCTTTGATCGATGCTAAATTTATTTTCTACTGCTGGTTAGGTGGAGTTTCCTGACGAAAACTTTACGCAAAAAACTGTTAGATTGCCAGGAAATCTCAAATATTTATTTGACACAACAACTATTTATTTTTGAACATTCAACTTTCTTGTTAATACAATTACTTCAACTACTCACTATTAATCACATCGTGATTCATTATATGATGAAAGTTTCAGATCAAAATCCAATTATTAAGCAGGTGTCACGCTACAGATTATTGATGCAGCTTTCTTCGTATGTACACACAGACATGCAAACAAACCATTTTTTGTCAATTACCGTACAAAAGTCTTGCATGCAAACACTACATTGAGATGCTTAAAGCAAACACTTGCCAGTTTAATCAGTGACATGATATCCGATCAAACACTATACTAAACTATGAAAAACTATGAGACACTATAAAACACTATGATACACAATCAAACACTACATTGAGATGCTGAAAACAAACACTCGCCATTTCCATCTTTCACAGGATACCTGATCAGGATCCTGTCTTCAAACTGATATCCCTGAAACTACTACATGCATGTTCGGCTTAGGTCGTTGTCTCAAATAAAAACAAAAACAAAATCAAATAAACTGATGAATTATTAAATTTTCGAGGTAAACACAACAGGTCGTTCATAATATTACTCAGGCAATAAAGATTACTTGGAGGTATCTAATTTTTACCTTAGTAACATGTGGCAAGTTGTACTGGGATGAATTCAACTTGCTGCAGTGATTAATCACTAACTTGACTTACTGCGAAAGGTGTGTTTTTGCCTATTCCAAGTGCATTAGTGAAAAATGAACATAAACTTTATTTGCAAGGTTTGAACAAATTTCTCAAATTTGATAATCCCTCCTGATAATCTTATAGCTAATTCCACAAATCTATCTATCTATCTATCTATCTATCTATCTATCTATCTATCTATCTATCTATCTATCTCAGCCTGATCTATGTATCTCTCTCAGTTTGGTTCTATCTATCTATCTATCTATCTTTTTTTTAAATTTCTGAACACCGTCGTCATGGATGAAAATGGATGTAACCACTTTTGCTGATATCAGTTGCTTGGCTCTAATTTAACTATGGGAAATGTTTTATTCAGATATTAATTCGTCTATTTATTTTTCTGTCAATCATCTTGGCAGACAAGAGATAAAACCTTTTTGTCTAAGATAAATGGCGATGTGTCAAGGCACCGGATTAATCTGGGCATTCCCTGTAGAAGAGCACCATGTAAATACGAACAATGTCAGACTTGAAATCGGAAGGATTATACAAAAGAGAAATTTGAAAAGATATCACCACTCTTTAATCAATTAATATGTCTCATCTCTCACCGGATATATCACACATACTTTGAAATAATTACAGCAAGACATAACAACCCAACACAATTTTCTATCATAATGTTATTTTTAAGATGAAGACATTTCAGCACGTCTTAGCTGAAGAGACGTTTGTCTGGTACAACCATTAACTGTTCATCAATCATTTTATGGGTATGCACAAACAGTCCGAGATTTGAACAGATTATCCGCTTGCAATGTAATACCCCGTATTCATTTGGATCTTGTTGGTAATCTGAGTGGGGTTACATGTGGTCCGAATAGCGAACCGCTCCCACCAACCATCGTCCAGGCCTGCGACCTGGAGAGATCAATCAAGTCTTACCAACTGCGGCTGAGTTTTGTCCAAACAAGGCGGTATCACCCCAGGGGATAAATGAAAGTCCACTATTGTACTATTACGAAACTGATGGTCAAACACAACGAGTTTAGATATATATGAATAAATAATCGAGTTCTACATCGCGCAATAATGCGTTTAGGCATGAAAGAGACGGGTATGACTCTGTTTCGATACTTGGTGTGTAAACTTATTATATATATACATATATATATATATATATATATATTGATAAGTGTACACACCAGTATCGAAACCGAATATATATATATATATATATATATATATATATATATATATATATATATATATATATATATATTATTATAGAAGAAAGAACAGTAAGATATATAATCAGGTGTTATTAATATTTTATTTTTACAAAACAGTGCTCAATGCAAATTTACAGAGCATAAATATTGTCAAAATGATTGGAGTTCCCCGTTTCCTTGGAAACAAATATTATGAATGCATGTGCTTATAAACTCAGTAAATGTCAAAATAAGTTATTCCAAAATCCGCTTGAAAATGAAACAGATTTAGGGCCTTTAATTTAATTCTATAATTGAATTTGAAGTTTTTAGTTTCCTTTTTTTGAAACATGGTAATTCCTGTGTAGGGATGGAACCATACTTTTAAATCAGTTAATTCATAATATATATATATATATATATATATATATATATATATATATATATATATACTGTCAGTTCGATGTCGTCTAAATTACTCAAAAATGAAAATAACACTGACATCTCATTTTCACAGGTATATTTTACAAAATTACACAAATATTTTGAAATACTAACAAATAAATTTATTCAATAAAATCGCCATTAGCCCCAACCACGGCCACCAGACGACTTTGGAATCTTTCCGACTCTGTTGGACGGTTCCCTTGTTTAATTCCTTGAATGCTGCCATAATCCATGCCTTCCGTTAATCTTTGGTGTAACAAGGAGTTTTGTTGGTCCCTCGCTGAACTGCGCCCCACACATAATAGTCAAGGGTGTTGCAGTCTGTGGAGTTAGGTGGCCTTATGTCAGGGGTGATATGGTCGCAGAAATTCTCTGATAATCAGGACTGGGTTCTCCTGCTTGTGTAGCATGATGCAGAGTCCTGTTGCCAGATATAGGATCTTCCAGCAGCCACCCTCTTAACCCAGGGCAGCACTACATCTTCAAATATAATGATGTAAGCCTCCGTGTTGAATCTGTGGAAAGATGAATGGAGGTATAACTTCGTCATCACTAGTGATCACTCTAAAAACTTTCGTAGTCACCATCCAAATCTTTCTGAATTCTCTGCAATGTTCGTATTGGAGATTTCGGTGCAAATTCGAAGCAGTACAGTATGACGTCTGCAAATGTCTGGCGTCGCGTTATCATGTTCGTTTTCTCAGAGGCGGTGCCCACATGTCGCTACGATACGGTGTAGTCGACAAAATCAAAAAATAACAACGCGCATGCGTGCAATTGAAAATGTAAAATGGCGATAACTATTGCACCTTGTGTACACAAACACGCACGCACGAGAGATGAGCTTCTGGTCAAGTGTATTGGCTTCTCTGTCACGCAGAGTTTTCCACCAAAATCTAATTCACCCAAATAGCCTCGTCAAATCCTTGACTACCCTTCATCACAGACATCTCCGTCAATACCAACAGAGAGGAGAAAGGGAATAAGGAGAGAGGATGATGATCCCGTTGCACGGATGTGAGCGGGTACCGTCTACTATATATATATATATATATATATATATATATATATATATATATATATATATATATATATATATATAGTATCATTTAATAATTCAATTCATTAATATTGTTTAATGAGGATTTACATTTTAAGTAGTATCTTTTATTATAATTATAATTAATAATATTTTAATATCCTTTAATACCCTTTAATGTTTTATTTACTATTATTTAATATATTATTTAGTAATATTTAATTATAATGATATTATTCAATAATGTAATATTTTTAATAATGATATAATGAATCTTATAATACAATAATTATATAATAATTGTATATATTGTTTATATTTAATTGTTATATATCTTTTTACTTTGTGTGTCTTTATTTATTAATTAATACTTTATTTACTTTCTTTGTCTATTTATCAATTAGTAGATTCATGTACCTAAATTGCTTTTATTCATTAACCAAATTCTATTTTTTATTCATTGCATTATTTTCCTAATTATAAGTGTAGATTTTTCATTTTTCAATTACTCTTACTCTATTATTGGTTTGTTATATAAAATATTAAATTTTCTCTGAAGTTATATTTTCTTGGAGATAGTAATAATTTAGTATGTTAATATCTGTTCTGTTTAATTTAAAATGCAGAACATCAAATAAAACATTTCCTAAAATGATAATAATTAAATCCTTATATATTTTTTAATCTTTTAATATTTTATTGTATTAATTCCAGGAATTCTTTCTCATTGATATAAATATATAATTATATCCCTTAATTTTGAATTAAGAGTAATTTGTTAATCTAAGATTATTGAAAATAATTTTCCATTTTTATATTACTGAATGAAATCTGGTCTGTTTATATATATATATCCCGTCACACCATTACCATGTCTAGACATGGCCACATCCTATATACTTTCCTTTCCCACCTCCTCCTCACTCTTTTTTCCTGACTATTCAACAGTCAGAGGCGACAGGCTGTTTCATGCTGGACGGAATCCTCAGGCGGTCTGATGATTGCGTCCAGCATGAAATAGCCTGTCGCCTCTGAGTGTTGACCTCAATGTTCACTTTTATATTTATATTTACATACGCTCTATCTCTGATATTGAACACTTTATCCCATAAATATAGCACACCTTAAACATATATTTTTTCATATATATATATATATATATATATATATATATAAGAATAAAGTCTAAAAGAAAATTTATCTTAGCTCATGCATTTCCTCTGACAGACTTTATCAAGGCAAATGTTATAAGGACGAAGATGTTAGCTCTTCAAAATTTTTAAATTTAAGAACGCTGTGGCACCATGCATCCAGGCAGAGAAAGAAAGGCAAAAAGGGAAAAGGAAAGAAATGAAGAAAGGAAGGGAAAAAGTAATGCGAGACGGATCATAGGCGAACACACACACGCGGCTTAAGAGGCAATAAAAAAATGGTTATTTTGGATAAGTGGCACATGGCGAAAAGAGTGACATTACAATGACAATGAGATTGAGTGTGTAGGGAAATGTTATCTAAACTATTGGTACGAGAAGGCATCTTACTATCAAAACACAGGCCACCGGCCAAGGGAAAAATTCCAGCGAAAATGTTATTTCGATAAGTGACGACAAGAAACAGGCGACAAAAAAAAAAAAAAAAGACTTTTGGACAGATATGAAAATTAAAGGCCACCTGCGAGCAATCATTGACCGATTTTCCTACTGGCCTGCGCGAATGGAATTGTGTTATCAAGAAATGTTCGCCAAAGAAAGTCCACTTGAAAACGTTAGATTTTGATAATTGACAAAACACAGGCGTAGCTTGGAGCCTTAGCTGGATATGGAAAATTAAAATCCCACACAAGCCGTCTCGCTAATTAAGCTCTTTTCGACAAAACAAACTTTTGCCCTGTGATAATAAAAATTTTGTTATCAGACACATGAACCGAAGGAAAATGAATGGAATAAGAAATGTTTTTATTTCTTCCTTGGAGACGTCAGACTGACTGAAAACTTGGAGAAAATTCTTTTCTGAGGCCATGCCGGAAAAACCAGCCGTCTGATGAATTAGCGATAAACTGCTTGACAAACGCCACGTGTTGAACAAAGAGTTGTCATATTATCCGTTCATGATAACGGCGATTTAATTAATTTTTTTTAGGTAAGCAAGGTATTTTTTTCCGAAACAAAGCCGCGGGTTGTTCACGCCCGACTAAGACGTCATTGGTCAAGTGGTGATCACATGACGCACGAAGGAGGAGGAAAGATACCCGACCAAGACTTCATTGGCCGAGAGTGATCACGTGACGCACGAAGAAGGCTGTTGACGCCCCCATCCAGAGTATAAGTATGAGAAGCCGCTACGAAAAAGTGGGAGGGCAGTTCACGCCCCTCAAAGCATGGTGAGAAAGTGGGAGTGAGAAAAAAAGTTACCAAAATGGAAAAAGAGTGGAAAAGTCCCTAACCAGAAATAAAAAGAGGTGGATATGTATTTAGAATTATCGAGGAACTCCCCGACGCCAACAGACCCAACACGGTTTTTGTCGGCGTCAATAAAAAACCAGGCCCCAACAGGCAGAAATCAGTTCGCGCCCCGACGGCAGAGATGAG